CGGGGCAAGGCTCCCATGCAGTGGGGCTGCAAATTAGAGGGAATTTTGGTGGGGGGTTTATATAGCATAGATTTATGCCATCATGATTTTAGCCTTTTTAAAAATTTAACAGCTGCATTTGGATGATAGTTTAAAGCAAAATTCTTCAGCCTTGTCCTTCACATATATTAGATTAGAACCGCCATCAACCCCAAGCAGTGTGGCCAGTGGTCACTGGTGATGGGAATTTTAGTCCAATATGTAAGAGGCCACTAGCTTAGGGAAAGTAGATCTAAAGATTGCAAGTGAACTGTGTTCTCTCTCCTATTAGAAGAGAGTAAACACTTCTATTTTTAATTGACTGAACCCCAGTTTCCTGCTGGTATGAGTTAGTAGATGGATACCCAATGTGGTGTAGTGGATAAAGTGACAGATTAGGATTCAGGAGGCCTGAGTTTGAATCCACATTTGGACATGGAAATTCACCGGAGGGCGTGTGGAACTGGTAAAAACACTCCTTAAATACCTCGGTTACTTACAGTTCCAAATTGATGGTACAAAACAAGAACATGTATTAGCAGGAGTTTGGAAATAGATTTATTTGAACATTAATTAAAGCAAAACAAGTTGAAACCACAATGTGGTATCCTGATTCGTTTCAATTTACCAAATAGACCCAGATGGCTAAATCCGTGCATAATAGGAAACTCTGGTTTAGACAAAACTGAAAGCAGAAGCTTTGACTGTCCTTTTGTAAGTGAAAGGGGAGTGCACAAGTTCAAGGGCTGAAATAAGGATAAACTAGGTTTTCCCCACCTGTTCCAAACTTTGGAAACCAGAAATTTATATTTGGAGAATCAGATAAAAAATGCATAGTCAGCATGTGTTGAAATAAAGAGTGGAACTCAGTAAGGATGTAAAATCAAGTGAAATGTTCAGCTGTAGTAAGGAGACTGATGGGTTTGGGCTGGTGGTCATGCAGAGCCAGGGAAAGAATGTCTTTGACATTGTCAAAGAAAATCAGGAATGGCCCTGCCATTTCGTAGAGTGGAAACTATTGACTTAGGCAGGTGATTTGTGGTGCTGTGATTTTGGGTAGCAAATTGTCGTATATTTCATTTGTTATTATTCTCTTGTTACTGTTAGAGAAAAGAGGTACTTTGACCAGACTGGATGGTATGGATCTTGATATGAGAGGAGCAACAGAGATAGGGATAGGGGATTTGCTGTTCCATCTGAACTTCTCCGGTGTTTTTGCCGAGTCCTGTCAGAAACACCAGTACTTTACAACTTCTTTACAGCTGCTACACCTTCTCTACAACTGTGTATACAGGTATACCTGAAAACCAGGACAGGAGCAGGGAGAATAGCTAGGAACAGTTAAAGTGCAAATATTATGGGAGGGATCAGTGGCAAGTCCTGCCCGGACATGAACTTACAGCTTTTTTTATCCTGCTTTTCAGATACTTGCTTTTTCTCAAAGCTTATTTATTTATTTGCTTATTTGTTTACTTAATTTATATCCCATCTTTATTCTGATAAAGGAAAACAGCTTCAGTACAGCAACTAAAAATCATATATTTAAAACCACAATAAATGAAAACATTAACATTAAAATATGGTTAAAGCAACACAGTGTTGAAAACATCATTAGTTAAAACAAGTTTAAACAAATTTAAAATTCTGATAAAAATATGCTGTTAAAACTATACCACATCCCTCTACTGAAAAAAATAGAATCCTGCAAGAGCATTTAGAGGACAAAAGCCAACTTTAGAAATGAAGGCTTTCCTCTGCCAGTGAAAAGAGGAAGCCAGGCTAGCTTTGTGAGGCAAGGAGGCTGCAAGCCTATGCAAAAATGCCCTCTCTTGGGTCCTTATCAGATGTGCCTAGGATAGTGGTGGGACCAAGAGATGAGCTTCTCTCAAAGACTGGGGTGGGGATTATATGGGGAAGTCCTTCCTATAGCATGCAGTCAAGCTGTATCGGGCTTTATAGGTTATAACCAGCAGGTTGAATTGGGCCCAGAAATGGAATGACAGCCATTGAAGCTGTTGTAACGAGGGAGCATTATATCAGGCAAAATCAAAAACAAAACAATAACAAAAACAGGACAAAAATATGTGGCACCTTAAAGACTAACTATTGTATTTTAATGTGAGCTTTCATGGACCAAGTGCACTTCTTCAGACATAGGGGGGGAAATCAAATACAAAATGAAATACAAATTTCATATTCAAAACATTCATTGGCTTTAAGAATCTTGGGTGTGTAGTTACATCTAATGTGCAATAAATTCTTCCTGCTGTAGTTCAGGAAGTTTGAATCAAGTGTTATTTTTGGACCAGAAGGAAGAGACTGTGGTCTGCAGCTACTATGTTTTGAGTCGATGAATGGAACCAACTTGACCAGTCCATTGGCTAGGTTCATTTAAATCAGACAAATGCCTTAGCCCAAAATTGGTGAGCCCATTTCATGACACCCCCCTGGTACTTAATATGCCCCCCTCCCCCACAGGAAAAGCAAACCCCCATTGGCAGAAGCCAGATTCTCTTCTGTTCTTCAAACTCAGAGCAGCCTAATTAGAATTAAGATTCCTCACCTCAGGCAGAGTTGTGTAGCAATGAAATAAAACAAATGAGTGTGTGTCTGTAATAGAGGTAATTATCATGTATTTTAGAGAAGCTGTAGACTGTCAGCATACTTAGAAGAACCTGGGTGGCTCAGTTTCACAAGTACAGTATTGCTAGTCAGCCCTAATAATGGTGAATGGAAAGTAATCTGCATTTCAGAAGGAATAATTTGAATTCAGAATTAACTCTAATTACTCATAATATATACCAAGGCTCATTTTGTAAATGTTCGGTATTCAGTGTGCAGTGGTGTTAAAGAATAAAAAAGGCAAGCCAAATAATGATAGATACTTGATGCCATTGTACATCACCAATACATCTTCACCTGGACCTTTGTCTTTCTGTTCTGGTCAGCCCGTCTGAAATGGAGTCAAAGGGAAACAGAGAAAGAAAGCCAAAGAAGGACAAAAATGAGAATGACTAATTCTTTGACAATACTACTTTGTGCTTGTGAAAGGAGCTGAATGGTTGTGTTTATACAGAAATATAAGAGGCAATGAAATAAAGGTATAATAAAGATTTGTACAGTAACCCAAACCTGTCAACAGTACAAAAGACCTTCCATTGAATTCAGGAGTAATGTAGGAACAGCCATTGGAAATGGAAAGAGCCGTCTAAAATCTGCTGAGCAACGGCTAGAACATTCCACACGGGGTTGAGGAGAAGACTGTCAACTAATGCTTTCACACCCTTCTTTTGCACTGCATCTGCATTTTCCTTTTCCATCTTCTGTTCTTCAGAATTAGCTGTGGAAGTTCTGTTCTGACTCCTCGAAAGTCTGTCTCACCATAAAGTTGATTTTATGCATTTTCTCAAGTTCTGCTGAGCATCTGATCTTAAGCTACCCGCATACTGAGTTCAGCTGAATTGATCTCCAACTTGTCTACACAGCAGGAGAGAAACAGTTTCACTTACCTGCTGAGAGAGTTGAAGTTCCAGTGCTTCCTAGTGAAAGAGCTTCATGGCAGCCTCAGGAAAGCCTTCACTAGTGCAGCCATTCAGATAAGAAAAAGGCAGGCATTTCTCCTACTGTTTCTGCACTGGATGGCTCAGGAAATTGGGTGCCTAGCTGCAATGGAGTTTGAGTCTCCGTCCTACCTTCTGGAACAGAAGCCAGTTAGTGTGGTCTTGAGCATTCTGCAACAGTCCCAGAGCACCTGCAGAACAAGGGATTTCCTTTCTGAATGCTTTATACCTAAAAAAAATAACCTCTGGAAATGACCACCATAAGTCAGACTTGATTTGACGGCATGTAATTATTATTCAGTCCTTATTCAGGATGCTGCAGAGCTGAAGCAAGAACCCACTTTTCCTTCTAGTTATTCATATTTGCTAAAACATTGAAGGGAGATGTGAAGTTTTTTTCTTACTTGCAGGACGTTTTAGAGGACAAAAACAGCATGAGAAATGGCCAGTGTTCTTTTTCTTTGTTAAATGTTTCTGCAGAACTATTCCCTGGTTGCTAACAAGCATGGAGAGAAGGAGGCAATGTTTTTTTTCTTATCTTCAAGGAAATTTGTAGACAGTAAAGTGCATTTCCATCTTTTTCTAAAGAGCATATTGAAAGTCAGAGTTTACCTCATGGAAGAAAGGGAGAGTCTTGCAGAAAGCCTTGGAAGAGAACAGAAAGAGCAGGCATTTTTCTTGCTGCTTCTGACTTCTGATCATTTGTAATGTTATACAGTAATAAATGAGTATTAAATAGCAGTAGAAATGCAGTGAAACAAAGTGACCACAGAAAAATCTACCCAGTGCTTCAAGGAAGCTTCTGCTTAAAGTTGAAATAACTCTGAAATGCCTTAATAGTGCTGTGTCCACCCACAGTGCAGAGACTGTTACTACAATTATAGAGATGAATAATCACCAGAAATAAATAAAAGAAAATGGGACTAAACATCATTGTAATGTAATGGGTTGATAGTCTGCATTATAGTTTGTGAGCAAAGGATATCAATTCCAGAGTTAAACATAGTAAATAATTACTAGTGTGGAGTCTATGTAGCTGCACACAGTGAAGAGGAGACAACTAATCATTGATGGAAACACTTCATGTTTAGAAAAGATACAGTCCGATACAGCATTCTTTCTTTGACCAAAGACATGTTGTATTTTCCATCCTGCAAAAGATTTAGCTCTGTCGTCTGTTTTGAATCAGTCCGATACAGCATTCTTTCTTTGACCAAAGACATGTTGTATTTTCCATCCTGTAAAAGATTTAGCTTTGTCGTCTGTTTTGAATCGTGGATAGCTCTGTAGATGCAATTGAGTGTATTCCTGTAAAAGATTTAGCTTTGTCGTCTGTTTTGAATCGTGGATAGCTCTGTAGATGCAATTGAGTGTATTACTTTCACATTCCTGCTCTTTCTTGCAACAATTGCATCTTACCAGAAAACATCTACTGAGCTCAACTCAAAGATTCGGGCAACCTTTGAGCATCTTCATCGTATCCTGGTAGAGGAGGAAAGAACTGTGATGATGGAACTGGCCCGGGAGGAAGAGCAGTGGTTGATGAGACTGGAAGGAGACTCTGCACGACTAGTGGAGAGCATCTCTGATTTAAAGAAGAATATGGAGCGCATACAGCAGAAGCTTGACCAACTGGGGAGTTCATTGCTACTGGAGGTGAGGCTTGTTGAGTTGGAAATTAGATGTGGGATGGAGCTTGAGAAATGGGGGCAAGAGTGAGATCTGCACCTTCCCACTTGATTGATTAATCATATTCTTCACTCTCCCCAGCCGTTCAAGCATGTATTACTCTCATAATGCTATAGATTTTCATGAGTTTATTTACAAATGTATCTGTGACGTTCACCCTTCTGGTACCTGCGTGTTTTGCCCTCACAAAGGCTCACGTTGTGTTTTCCTCTCACTACCACCAGTGGATTACCTCAGTCCACAATATACAGTGGGGTCTTGACTTAAGAACGTCTCGAGTTAAGAACATTTTGACTTAAGAACCTCTCTCATAGGAAAATATTGACTTGACTTACATACTTAGATTTGAGTTAAGAACTGAAAAAAAACACGTGGGAGGCAGGGAAAGTGCAAAATTTGAACTTTCAGTTAACTGTTGGCCAGTGAAAAGGGTGCCTGTCTGCTTCCTCACTCCTCCCAGCGTTTAGAGAGTGGATTGGGAGACAGTCTTCAGACTGCCTGGTACTGCCTGGACTGTATTTTCCCTGTCTTCCCTGAACCTTTCTTGACCTAAGAAAAAAAGAAACAAAATATCCCCCTCCAGTGGTCGAAGGCAGAATAGCAGCTTCCCATTAGTTTCTATGGACGGAAAAGAGCAGATACGGATCAAATGGTTTTCAATGCATTCCTATGGGAAATGCAGATTTGACCTGAGAACTTTTTGACTTGAGAACCACCTTCCAATATGGATTAAGTTCTTAAGTCAAGACCCCACTGTAAATGACGTTTGTCAGAACATTGTCTTGTGAATACAAACTGAACTTATTTATTGAATTGAAGCAGATTTAATAATAACAGAATTTCTTCAGATAAACATTGTACACAAGCAAATCATTAACAGGTCTCTCAATACATACTTTTCTCTTGCAATATCATTACCACCTTCTCTACCTATTTTCTTTACCAGCCTTATCACTGATTATCTGTTCCCTCTCTCTGATTAACCAGCCTTTATCTCTATCTGGATCTCATTCCAGTCTCTATCTGACTCCTCCTTCTCGCTCCAAACCTTCATATATCTGCTGAGTCAGCCTCTCCAGTCCTCTCATAAGCTCATGCAAATCAGCTCATGACTATGAATGCCCTGAGTGACATGGGGCGATCGTCACAGTATCATTTTGTATCTGTTTTTATATGCATTTATTGTTGATTGATTGCTTTTGCTTTTATACCGCCAGATGACCAGAGTTCTCTCGTCATTGTGCAGTATATATTTAAAATAATAGTGGGCATTATGAAGCGGTGACTGAAGAAAGCACATAATAAGAGTGGTCCTAAAACCAGGAGCAAACAATAAAAATAGTATAGTGTATGAAATCAGAATAGGAGCTACATCATAAAAAGATCTTCAGCTGGCAGAGAAAGGGCTGTTAGATGGGTGCCAGCGAAAGCACTCTAGGGGAATGGATTTCATAGATGTGAATTGAGAAGAGCAGAGCAATGCTTGTTTTCTTTTAAACAAATACAGAAATTCTAGACAACAGGTGGAGAGATTGAAACATGTCTTATATAGACTTGGGAGTTCCCCCCCCCCCCCCCATGTTCTTCTCTCTCTCTCTCTCTCTCTCTCTCTCTCTCTCTCTCTCT